GTTGACCTAATTAGTGAGAGTTCAACGAAAAAATATTTCATCATGAGCTAACATCAGTTAGAGAAGCATTGGAAAACCTGGGAGTACTGGAGAGCTGTTTCGTCCTAGTTTGGGACTCCTCAGCAATACACACCCACCGGGATTAGAACCCAGGACCTCCTTGCCCCGACTTACCCTATTCAGGTGGGTAGTTACCTGGAGTTCCAGTGGTAAGTCGTGACCAGTAGGGTGCACCTGGTCGGTGTGAGGACAAATACTCACCGAAGACATCGGCTAGGGGTCGCGCCATGTCATGAATAGGCAGAGGTTAGAATTCATGAGCCATCGGATCGGGTCACAGTGGCTTAATGGTATACGAGCTCGCCTTGTAACCAGAAGGTCCTGGGTTCGAACCGTAGTGGTGGTGTGTACTGATGAAGCGTCCCAAACTAGGGTGAGACAGCTATCCAGTACTCCCAGGTTTTCCAATGGTTCTCTAACTAATGCTAGCTCATGATGAAATCCTGCAACCAATCAAATCCCTACAGACCAACACTTGAAAAAATATTTATTGTTTTGACTTTTTCTTTTAAAGTTCATCAATGAACACCACTATAAATATCTACTAGTGGTGAAATAAGACGACGACTTTTCAAACAAGATAAGACGAAGTCCCAAAGATGGAAACTGTTTCCTATTCACAGAGCTTCAGTATTCGATGCTTTACCATTGGTTATCAGATTCAGTGGTATCTCCATCACTAAATTTCATAGTGAGGTACTCAATGTTATACGAAAGCTTAGAGGACAGAAAATAGTTTCTATCCTCACTTGTCTATCGACGTTTATATAATAATGATTATAGCTTTATTCTGCACAAAAAAGTTTATACGGTAAACAGAATTCTCAACGTACTTAGTTATTGAAAAGAAAATTACTGAGAGCTTGACGATTATATTAATCACCTTAGAGAATCTACCGCCAGTGAAATCATTTCCAAAGATTACAAATCTCTATCACCTTGTTACCTGGCAAACTTCATAACTTATCAACCTATGCAATAACTAAGGCTCATAACCAGATAGTCAGAAATCTGGGAAACACTTTTATTGAATTAACTATCTCTGTATTCACTACCTTATAATTTATTATTTTTTTTTTTATTGTAATCCATAATTTACTTAACACTCAATAAACTACATAGATACAAATGTAACTCATGTGTGTATATAAATAATACAATCGAAGCATTGACCAGGAATATGAGAGTGCACTATCGATTTACTAGTTATTAAAAATTCACGCAATGACTTGTTTCGTATTTTCTTTATATTTTGAATAAATCACACTTATACTTAGATTAGCATAATCGTTACCAGTACTTGAAAAAATCTAACTATATAGATAGTTTATTCTCCTGACAAAGAAAAATAGACTCTTTTTTCAGAATAATTCTATTTAGGTGATTTTAATAGCTTCACAAGTGATATGATGAAACATGTAAACAAAACCTGCTTTTGATTATTTCACTTAGTCGAAATAATGCCTTTATCCAAATTTAAAAGAAACTTGTTACAGACTGAGAATCGTAGAGATAGTTGATTTGATTCCAGGTAATACGACATTTTTGATGCAACCAAACAAACACCCTGTCGCTCAACAAATATGAGCAAGGGAACGGAGATGGATCGGATACAGGTTGAAGAGATAACTGAGTGACATCACATGCCAAGTAGGCTCTTGAGCAGAAGCCTAAAATGAAACAACGATTTGGGCATTCGACAGTGACATGGAGGAGATCGTATGAGGAGGAAATTAAATCTAGTGGGCAGTCGTGAAGCCAGCTAAGAAAAAAAATCAGAGAACACAGCTGAATGCCGATGTGCTGCTGAAGCTCTGTGTTCCTATTGGAACCCAAGGGAATAATAATAATATGTAATACAATCACTAGTTTCTCTAGGTAGATGACGGATCTCTTGGACTGAATCAATTTGGGTAGATTCTGACCTTAGTGGCAACGATCTTTCTAGAGTTTAAATTATGTCAATTTGGCTGAGGAGCACTGTCCGTTGGTTTGACTAGTTTCCTCTTCTATGATAAAATAAAACTGATAGAAGAGGTGTTGGTGTTAAACAACTATCCTATAAAATTCATTAGGAAGTTCGAAAAAGCTCAAAAGAAAAAGAAAAATAATTGTGAAACTAGCAATGATAACACAAATAAGAGAGAATATAAGTCATCTACTATTATACGATATAAGGAGGGGGCATCTGAGACCCTACGTAGGATTCTTGATAAAGCAGGAATTAGGGTGGCATTCAAACCTACAAACTCACTCAGAGACAAGCTCTGCATGCTAAAAGACCTGGTGAACCCAATTAAACAAAATAATGTAATTTTAAAAAGTAATCTATGTAGGTGGAGAGAGAGAGAGATTGATTACTGAATCCTGGTTCATTGAGTCTACACCCAACATATGCAACAAAAATGACTCAATGCAAATACCAGAAATATGGAAGATATTATTACCGCCGGTCAAATAAGGGGAGGATAATAAATAATCATAAAATTCTATTTCAATTCAAACACATCACAACATTCTAACAAGTAACTTATTATAACTATAAAAACACTCGTCTTATTTCCCATCTGATTGTAATTGATCAATAACACTCATATTACTATTTCTGAATGTACATTATCCTATATTGATTTTTATTCCAATATCTAATCGATCCCACACATGTATATAAATGAAAGAAAAAAGTGTGAATAACTTGATATGATTATGAGCAATAGTTTGTGCTCGAAACATCATCAGTCAATTGATATGTACCCACATGATGTGTGTTTTGTTTTTGATAGTCTATTATATTTTGCTGTGTATATAGATCGATATTCCATTATAACTGACATAATGCTTTTGTCTGTCTTCTAACTAAATAAACAATGTATGACCTTATTATCACATGACATTACAACCAATCATGGTAAGACTGTCTATTTATTGGTTCATGTGTATTAGCCATTTTCATATATATCTTTTTGCTTTATTATTCTTGTTCATTCTTCTTGTTCCCACGTTTCGTACACTAAGTACCCTTTCACTGACACTCTTGTGTGACATTTGTTTTCCTTGTCTGGAAAATACAAGTATCATCGTGAACCTAGTGGTCTTCTGATTTCACTCTGTCCGCGTCAGGACTATTAACTACTCGACGAGTACATAACATAATTGGCGACGGGGAAAACTCTAATAACTCACTCAGCAGCAGTACATAACATTATTATTACTGTAGAATACTGCGTGATTTATCAAAATAAAGTCTTATCCATAATGGAGTTAGACTCTACCACAGTTCCCAAGTTTTAAACTTACCACTTAAAATACAGTGGAACAAAGTTCACCACGGATTAGAATCTGGCTTTAATTCTACCTCATATTTTCTTCTAAATTTGTAATATTAAAACAGCCAATTTACATTTATACATTATGATCGATGGCTGAGTAGTTAATAAATAAGTTAAAGGGAATAGCTGTTGCACAGAGTCAGAAAATTATATATATATTACTAACAAATAGGGGATCAGGTATTTAAAACAAATACCGGCGTACAATATACAAATCCTTTTTAAAAGGTATCCCATTAATTCATCAAAATTCTTGTCTTTGTCATTTGCTGAGTATTTGGAAGAAAATTAGTCAGTAGTCTTAACGAACAAAAATTCACCTATTTAAATGTCAGTTGTTTGTTTTATTTTTTACCACCAACCGACATCATTTAGAGAACCACTGGAAACTAAAGAGCACTGGACAAATGTTCCTTCCATTTTTCATGAATAATTCCCACTATACATTTACAAGAACTTAGACCAACTTCAGACATAATTCTACGTAGCACGGGATATTCACTAGACAATCTAACTTTGCCTGTTAGATGTTGTTATATAACTCACATACTAATGATCAAAGGTCTATTCACCTAAACATTTGGAATAATAATTATCATGATGCAATTTACATCTTTATCAAAAATGTCATTTAAGAGACCGAAGTTGTTAGTAAAACTGCTGATCAAAAGGTATTTTGCATACTTATTTCAATTTTAGAATTACTGAAACTCAGATATAGAAAAGAACGATTGTTTCCTTCTAGTTTAGTATTCCTTAAAATTAAATACCCATCACATCATTCAACATCGATACCAAGAAGGCAAATCTAGGAGTGATCAAATTGGCTCATAAATTAAAACTTCTATCAATCCCTGATTTTAGTGCGACCACCAACTAATGACATCGATGGGAAACCATCCTCACTTCCGACTGGATGGACCTAACTGGTAACGACTTCTCACTAGAACTCCTGGAAGCTCCATCCTGTAGCAAGTCACTAGCGAGCATCACTCACATTAATAATCAAGAGTTGATTTGCTTTTCGAGTTTAACTACAGATTGATATCAGTTAGAGAACCATTGAAAACCAGGGAGTATTAGAAAAAATCCTTAGAAATCAGCTTTTGATTATTAATGTGATGCTCGCTAGTGACTTGCTACAAGGACGGAGTTTCCTGGAGTTCTAGTGAGACGTTGTGAATAGTGAGGTCCATCCAGTAGGGAGTGAGGATGGATTTCCCGCCAATGACATTGGTTGATGGTCGCGCTAAACTCGCGAGTTGGTAAAAGTTAGGATTCATGGGTCATTGCATCGGGTGCCAGTGACTGAATGGTATACGAGCTTACTTTGTAACCGGAAGGTCCTGGTTTCGAACCAAAGAATGTGCATACTGTCAGTGAGTCCCAAACTAGAACAAAACAGCTTTCCAGTACTCCCTGGTTTTCAATGATTAAACAGTCATTAACTAACCAATTCCAAATCTTAATATTTGTGGAATTGACAGGTTTTAACGGGATTAACAAGTTGGTTAGAACGGTATAACTAAAATTCATGCAAGGGAATAAACACTGTTGAAAATATGTAAAATATTGAGAACAATTTTTTTAATGAGTGAAAAGTTGTCTTACCTTGCCCGACGATTGAATAATTCTGTACATTTTCTAAAGACAAAACTAAATTCATCCGATTGACCATAGGCTAAAACAATATCTTTCTGCCTTTGCATAACACGCTCTGCTGCACGAACTGATAATAACAGACCACGTGAATCATTTGGTTTAATGAAATTATGCTTTGTTGTAAACTTATGAAATCCTTGTCCATCTAAACGTACAACAATCCAGGTTGATGGAAGACACTGATCCATTAATTCAAAATTTCGAACATATTCATAAATACTTTTTGCCATTTTTGTGACAAGAATACAATCAAATTAAACTGAAAACAAACTGTGAAAAAAAAATCAAAATAAGAAAACTTTTAGAAAGAAAAAAAAGTTTTATACAAGATGACTTACCGGATGTCTGTCTCCTCCACCTTAAGATTTAATCACTTTTTAAACACATTTTTATCACATTTAATCGATCGGTCTTAGTCTATCTCTTAATCGATCTGATTGTACCTAAAATAGTGGATTACCACCACTACATGATATTGATTAGTGTATCAGTGACAAACATAAGATATGCGGAAATTATAACTCATCGGATTTAAACAGAGATAATCTTAGGACTAAACATCGATGGAAGCTAGTGTCCTATACTGTGCTGATCATTCATGTTTTTTAAAGAGAAACAAACGAAAAGTCACTGATGAAGAATTTAGGACTTGATTTTAATAGGTGTCAATACCAGTCGCGACAATTCACATCCAGCCACTAAATTAGAAATTAACAAATGGAGAGAGACAAACAACTACAAATATAATAATTAGTTGTTGTAGAAAAGCCTATTACCAAACAAAAAACATAAAGGAGACTAAAATATAGAACAGTTACAACTGATGTGATAACTTAACATGGGTCCACTGTTAATATAACCTAATTGAATTACAAAAGTAAGCCAGGATCTTCAGCTATTGATTTCAATAGTTTCATGTGCATCATCACGAAGACAGGCTTCGCGCCAGGGTCACAAAGTCAGTCTAGTAAAAAAAGCTTAAAGAAAATAACCAGAATTTTTAATTTACATGTTAAAAAGACGTATACTACTGCCAAGTGCGTATTATACCATGATTGATCTTTTCAAAATACACATTCTTACAAAATCAGGATTATTCCTATTACATACCGTAATTTCAAATTTATCTAAAAGAAATCATTTGAATATATGAGTGTCATTTTTACTTTGAAATGTTCTAAAGTTATTTACAGATCATATGATCTAAACTGATAAAAAGAAGTGAAGTGTTCACATGTTGCAATCTTTGATGTAAATTTTGCATTAAGCCCATGACACCTTAGCGCAACAAGTCAAGCAAATTCAATTTTGTAGACAGGAGGTGGAGTACGGGGGGGGGTACTCTCTGAAAGAGCCAATTCTCAGTGTAGCGTTAAAATTACTCCAGTCAGACTACTGAAGTTTGTAGGTTTGTGCCAACGACTGCCAAATACTTTTGTTTCGATAGTACACTTCAGTTTTAATATAAACAGAAAGCAAATGATACCTATTTAAATATCAAAGTAAATGAAGCCACTTCCGAGATTATTTAAGCTAGGAGTGAATGATGGTTCAAAAAATTGATTTTCCTTGATGTATCATGTAAACCTAATGATGAGAAAAAGAGAAAGGTCCCTTTATGTACACTAGTCAGCAGAGAGTAACCACTTCAATCACCTAATTGTTGACTAAAGTTTATCGATCGGATCTTGAAAATTATCACTCGGGTAAGTTAGACGACACTCCACACACTCAATTTGAGTATATATTAAGAGGCCACTTTGATGAATTTGTATCATCATGTCACGGACAAGTTAAAATTTAAGCACCAGTAAGTACCGAAGGTTTACAACCACACCAATGACCTGGGAACGCTCAGTGAGCAAGTTAACGAAACCTGGCAAATAATTTTGTAATCATGATTAAAATATGCCTAGTTAAGTGTTATGTTATTAAGTGGGATATCCGGCAACTTTCAGCTTAGGTTTGGGAAAGATTAATTGAAAGTTTAGGCTAACAATAGATTAGGTTAACCTAATAAGGGCTCAAGTTGGATTAGGGTTAGTTGAATGATATTTCCACTTTAGGGTTAGGCTAAGGAAAGATTACGGTTACAAGACCTGGATAATTAGATGCATACAGTGTTATTAAATTACCCTGTTGGTACTCCAATCTAACCGTGAGAGGTATTTTTGTCACACATCAGAGAAAGGTACCCTGCATGCCTTCTGATTCATTATTTTCATGAATATATGTTTTTGTACGCAAAAATCGCCTTCATCGTGTGGTTGGTGAGCTCAAGGTCATTTGTCTGTTGGTACTTACTGGTGCTTAAAGTTTATCCTCGCCAATGTCACACTATACAGTGAACAAACTAGTTGGAATGATAATCCGATTAATGTTATCACTTCAGTTATACATGAAAAAGCTGTGTACAAACGAGGTGATAATCAACTTAAGTCCGTCAACAAGATTGTTAAATATGACATTTACACAGCATACTAGCCAATCTAATCAAAGTGGTTTGAACAGAAGACAGTTATTCCAGTCGTTCAAGATCAAAATTGTATACAGTGTGGTTGGAATTATGCAGCTCACAGACCCGCAGAATTCAAACCATCTAAATTTCTGACTACTTAAATATAACTAAATAAATATAGAAGTTCGAGGTAGATTTCTCTCATTCTGAAAACCTAATAATTATTAATCTAAATTATTGTGAACAATAATTAATCAATAACTACTACACCTGTATGAATGATTATTGATTTGATTGCCTTAGTCTGTCTCCTTTTTAAGCATTTTACTCATATGAGACATTAAATCCGAATCAACGTTTCATTCTTAATCGATAAATGCGTATGAGCGAAATAACCAGTACTAGACAGCAAATAATGGAGAACAGACATTCATTTAGAAGTGTACAGTGAATTATTCCATTACTAAGACTTAAGATGACGACCATGCGAAAAAAAGAAAACAATTACTATGTGAATAATTTTACAGGTGATGGAGGGCGGTAACTGTTTATTATCAGTGTTGAGACATTTTAGAATAATCAGGAAACATATCAAGCTAGTGGAATGTGTACATGGGAATGTGTTTGCAGAGTACATATATCGTTACTGAAAATAAACGCATGGAGACTGTATTTATTCCTTAAAATACTTTTTTTTAATCTACTAAAGATGATAGAGTTAACTCACTTTACAGCATACACCTCATAAATATCTGTACATTCAGACACAGACTATTTAAATCCCTGGGCTACCAGAATTTCCATCCATCAAAATGGTTTAAACTCTTCTGCATTTCTTATTATACAAATCATGGAATTATATCAAACGACCACACTACAAGGGCTGATGCGCATATTGAATAAGCTTTCAACAATTCGCTGTGCATTTCTTGAAGGGAATGAAAATATGTACAGAGATGGTTCTCTCTTCATATGCAAAAACTCTGTCTGTCTGTTTTCGACATAGAACTTTGCACAAATGTGCGCCAGTTCAAGTCGCCACACTCCGTGTAGCACGCGAAGCAAGAGAAGAAAGTACAAGAAAAGTATAATAGATACAGTAATCAGAGGTGTGAGACAAAGGAGGAGTAATAACGAAGAACAAAACAGTTTCATTGGAAATCATAAGTCACAAGGAGTGGATGCATCTTCGCCACTGAGGACGATTTTGAGCCATGTCACCAATTGTTTCCAGCCATTAATTTTTACCGTCCCGAGGACCCCAGCCTGGAAGTCTACACCTTCCTACGTGGCTTAGACTAACTTTTGTGGATTTCATTGACTGGTTTGGCCAAGTTTTTGTTTGACCTCCGCTAGCTTCCTTCCAGCCTGACCCTACATCCGCTAACATTGCTCGTCGAGGAAGGTGATGACCAGGCAGGTATGCGTAACACATGTCCTAACCATCTCAGTCTTTGTAGCTTCACGACTTCGTCGATTGATTTCCCCTGTTTACCTAGAACTCGACGCCTAACCTCAATGTTGCTCACCTTATTATGCCACTTTACACGGGAAATAGAGCGCAGGCACCTATGATCAAAGACAGCTAGTCTTTTCATGTCTTCCACTCTCAGTGGCCAGGTCTCACAGCCATAAATGAGGACGGAGCGGGCTGATGAGCAGTACACCTGCCCTTTCGTCGATAGTCGAACATCTCGTCTACGCCAGTGGATTTTACTCACCTTTGGGTTTAACTTATTCACAGCTTTTACAGCTGTATCTATGGCTGACTGGATATTCTTCCAAGCTTCTTCAGGGTGAGCACAGCTGTCGAACACAGATATGTGTTTAACTAGTTCTTCCTCGAATACGGATTTAGTTTCCTGATCGAGCTGGGGACGTGATGGTTTTACCGCCAGCTGTTTCCTACGTCCGTTCAGTCGTAAGCACACCCGAGCCCGGACCAGTGCGTGGTCGGTATCTACACGCGTGTTCCAGAAGGAGCGACAATCTCCTACCGACCCACGCCAACGATAGCTTATTGCTATGTGCAACAACTCTACGTCCCACAATATACTTCACACTACTACTCTACATGTAAATTTTGTGTGCAGAGGAAATATTCTGAAAATGAATCCGCTGAAAATGTCTGTACTACGTGTTCACATATTCTCTGAAATAAAGCTTTATTATTAGAATTATTTAAAAATTCTTTAGTTTTCTGCGTATTCAAAATGCCAATAAATTAACTACTCCGATGATGTGCTGTTCTGAGTTACCGTCACACCATTGCGTTGATAATGGAAACTCTCAACTCTTTTCTTAGACTTTAATTGAAAAATATCCATTGTCCAGTTGTTCTTTTACCAGTATTTTAACAGTCCTAAACACATCTCCCCTGTAATCAACCAGACCTTAGAAAATATGTTTAACATCATAATATAATACTCATTGGCACTTTCCCCATCTAAAAATATGAAGGAACTTCATAAAAGAGAACGTTGTTAATTAAATTACCCAGGAATGCCTTGATTTTGTAGACTGGAGGATGACTGAGATTACGAAAATTGTAGCATACAATCAACTTGAATAAAAATTATAGCTAAGAACTAGAAGGAAATATGTCAAGATATAATGTAGGATGATAACATAGTTTCTGTTCACCAAGATAAAGACTAAATACCTCGAAGTCTTTACAACTCTTTACAACACGAGAGATTAAAAAGGCACAATAAGCACGAAAACTTCCAATTAGGAATGGTCTAAATACGCATTCACCCTTAAGTGTCTTTTCTTCAGCCTTACCACCATCTGAAATAGCATAAGGTGGTGGTCAGTAACTAAGCATTTGTCTTCCAACAAGCTTGTTTTACAATCTATTACAGAGAAGAATTGTACAACTAGCCTGCAAAAACAAATTGCTATCTCTCTGGTGTTAAATGTAACCAAAGATGGTGACTGTTGACCAGGACATAACACTTAACTTTCACAGAAGGTCTAATATACTACACCTTTTGATCTTGAGGTAAATATATTACTTTGTAGTCATGCTTTGATTCCATTTAATTCGCCATATACCTTCACTATTATTCAGTGAAATGATGAGAATTTCACTGAAATTAAATTGGAAATAACGAGTACTTTTCCAAACTGAAGAGGCCCTGTAAAAGTGAGAAAAATACATCCCAGTTGTTGCATTAACGATTAAATGAGTATTGCCAAGCTATCGTAAAACAACTAAATAGTTACCATGACTACAAACTTATTATAATATCAAGGTCATATATATATATATATATATATATATATATATATATATATATATATATAAGATGGTATTGTTTGCAATAATGCGGTTGACAAAGTTATTGTACTGACAAAGTATGCATAAAGGAAATGTCACCTGGAAGACAATCTTTCGCTTTTAAATTTACATTTATCAGAATAATGGCACGAAAATGAGAACGAATAGGAACGCTAACTAGATGAGCATTTCCAGTCGCAAAAATCTTTGTAATGAATACAGAATATTAGTAAATATTATAAAATTGATACATAAACAAGTGAAATAGTTTTTTCTGAATATTACCGCCAAGATTGTGCTAGAAATAAGTCACATCCTATTAGGCAAAAGTTGAAAATCATATTATGTTAAAAGATAGAAGAGAAAAATATCAACAAATTTTGCTTATAGCTTATTATCTAAGAAGTAATCTCTTTCTAATGGAACAGGCAGTAATACTAACCTGAAGTAACGATGTCATTGAATTTGAAAAACCATTGGAAAGTTTCTTCATCCAAGTTGAAAATATTTTTAGCAGTATGTACAATTAACGGATAACTGAGTATAAAGTTAGCTCTTGTGCTACTGGATAAAACCCTACTAACTTGTGGCATCTACCATATCCAGTTCATACTTTGGTTGATACAAGCAACACACGTTATTTTACCACGATACACTTGACATACACTGTTACAAAACAAGTAAGTTTTGTCAGGCGTTTATTTTACATTTGTTACTTTACAAACTATAACAGACTTATACCGATTTTGCTTTTATTAGCAAGTTACATGAAAATTCACGACAGTTTTCTTCAGAAACCCATAATATACTAATCACAATATGTGGTCTGCTTGATACCATAAATAGGAAATTAAATTTGTAAACAAAACAGCATTTTGGTAGATACTATTGACCAACACCTTGAAGAGCGTGATATATTCCACAACTTAAAAATCATTTAGGAAACTCAGCCTACAAAACTTTACGTATCATTATTTATATCAGATATCAAAAAAGATTAGTAATTGTTAACTGCAACTAACCATTTGGAGCTTCCAATTCATTCTGTTATCCACCACCCAATTTTCGAAACATTGTTCCGATTGGTGCTAAGTCCAACTATTTCAATAAAAAATGCACTACTAAATTTTAAGGATACCTGTGATTATATGGCTTTTATCAGTCTACGACGCTAACAACCTAGAAAATAAGTAGTCCCTTGTAAATGAGTAAAATAGAACCAAAAAAGACTAAATATTGGCATATTTATTCTTTTATTCATTAAGTGCAAACAAATAGCAAAGGTGTACTACTTATCGTCAGCATAGTTTATTTCATTTAACTCGGGTCTTAGTCTCCGAAGACTCAGCCATCTACATACTTCTTACACTTTAGATTGCTAATTGACTTATATTCTCTACCTAGAATTCTACACCGAAACATAATATCGCTAACTTTGCGATATTATTAGGAAGGCAGACTATTTTGAACTCATCTTTGGTAAAATTACTAGCTTCCTGATTCAAAATTTATGTTCTCCAGTAGTAAACAAAAAAACAGTAAAACGAACTGCTGTTCGTAGTCACATAACCTACAACATGACTTATATAGGCAAATAACTAATGGGTTTTATACAACTCCCAGAATAAATTTAGCAATTATATAGGAAAGAAGAATAGTCTAAGGAAATAATCTATTATGAACAACTATGACTGAATCTTGACGCTTAATTAAAACCACGATTCCTATGGAAAGCGTCTAACTGTCTAGTAAAACTCTTCATAACATATTTTATGAATCTTACATTCGACCACTTATGCCAAGCAAACAGACTTAAAAAATACTATAATAAATATATTGAAATGACAGAGAAAAACAACATTTCAAACGGCATTCTTTAGTATGAAGAAAAGTATTTTGAGAGGATATTTATTTAAGCAAAAGTAATGGTGAATAATGCAGTATAATGACATAGTCAAGAAAGCCTCAGCGCTTGTGAAAACTAACAGGAGCAACACATGAAAATAAAGTACGAAAAAAACTTATCAAAATAATACCCAGAAAAAAGAAAATAAGCTAGCTCAGTTAACGTGTTTTTTGTGAAAATGAGAGATGACGGAATAAAGCAGAACAACAACAAAAATGTATGTCGAAGGAAAAAAGAAAACGTGCAAAAGACTTGCATGTAACAGTGTGTTTATGAGCAGGTGATAATTACGGTAACGATAACAGAAGAATATCCTTATTATCACAACTATTTAAAGATTGAGTAGAGTGAAATACACTTTACTGAGATTTAAGCATCGATCGGGGCTTTCTCATAGGACTTCTCAGTTTTCATTCCATCATCATACAATGGAACCTTCACATTTACTGCTTCAATATACGTCGGCAAACGAGTATACTGAAAAATGAAAAGCAACAAAAACACTGTACACTAATGGTGCATATGTGCGTAACTTTCTGTAAACCAGAAAGTACACAAGAACAACTTATAAACACGTTTTCTAGAATTAAAAAATGTACTAGGAAATTTATTCTCACAGAGAAACGTTAGTAATGCAAGTCTAACCACTTTCTCAAAGCGAGGTATTGGTTTAGTACTTACTAAACGTTTTTCTTATCTGTACCTCCTACTAATATTTGTTGATTATATTTCACACTATTATGATGGTCACTCAAGAATACGCCGTAGCTACAATATGGCAAGCCAACCATTTTGGTAGGCTACGACAAGTGTAGATGTGGTTCGATGCTTTAAGCATTTGGATTTCAACAAGCGGGTTACAGGTTTGAGTCCCATTTCGTCTACTTCAGTCTGAGTAATAGAATGGTATCACAAGCCATCGCAAAATGGTAGTCTGGTACATGAAAAATCCGTTTCACCCGGCCAAGACCAAAGTGAACTTATAGAAATTCAACAGCACTTCTAAAATCATTCTTCGCTGAAGCTATATTAAGCCTATTTCAATTACATGCGAGAAGGTAGGGGTATTACATTGCCAAACGACCCCTCAAAAGTTGTGCTATTTTACTTACATCTTTATTATGAGTTCTCAAGATCTGTATAATTTTACACATAAGAGATGCATATAGGTACGCATACTTTCAATATGCATAAATAACAAGACATAATCCCTCAGGTGATTATTGCTTTATTGCAGATAGACGTAGTGCTTAAATTGGAATCACTTTCTTCTCCCATTTATCAGAGTAAATATCGAAGGGCAATTTGTTTGCTCAAAATGATTCAGGCTTTTACAATTAACAGTGAAACTAAAGTAAAAATACTATTAACTATTCGACTATTCCTTTTATGCAGTTTGAAAACTTACCTCTATGTGCCGATGTTCGCGCAAACGACAAGCGTGAATAGTAAGTTTAACCATCAATAAGAGTATAACGAGCAACAGTGCAATAAGTAGTGGCAACAAAAGTGGTCGGAACATAATATGCCTGAAGAAGTAAGTAACCCTTGCGGCAGTTGTAGGCTGCCCTTCTTGATAGTTTGATTCATCCTCATTGTGGATAGCACGAAAATGGAAAATATTCTTTTCGTTACTTCTTGGGTTTTTATAGTAGACATCATTATTTTGTGGAATTATGTCTTGTAAATTGAAGAATGGCTTCATATTGAATGGTGATTCAAATGGATTTTCTTGTGTGTCAACTAAAAAAATGAAAAACATGACACATTCTTATGAAAAACAATCATAATCAGTGTTTTAGAAACCACCATTTAAAAAGAAATTACAAACCGATTACTTCCATAGAAAGAAGGTAAGACAGCATACATAAAATTTGTGCTTCATTAACTTTTTGCTTAGATAGTGCACTGGGGCAACCTGAATGAATAGCGTTTATTGGTTACTTGGATGAAATCTTCAGCGTTAAGTTTTTTAGACAATGTTCACAATGTGAACACAATGTTGGACGGCTAAAAATAGTCGTCTACTTTAGATGTTTGTATATATTTGGAGTGCATAAAAACAGTGAACCACTATTTAAAAGAAAACTCACCTAAGCTTACGTTTATCCACAAATTGGAACAGATTAGTCAATACCATAAATAAATACTACAATTGATGTGTTTAAGTGAGTGTATGTCCATTGAAATATACATTAACAACCACTATTTATTTATTTATTCAAAGCACAAACTTGGTAAAGTATGGGTGCCAAGACATGTGCTACACAACAATAAAACATATATACAGAAAATAGGGAGAAATGAATGAGGGACATCATCCATAAAGCAAGCACGCATACTTGTCAAGATCACTCAGAATTCACTTCCTCATGATACTTTGTGAAAGGAAATAAAGAGAAGTTGCAGGGTATTCTCCATTGGTTGCGATTCTTTACCGTATCTGCTAACCTTTCCAGCCACTGATACGAACTATCTTTCGTACTCCAACCAGAAAGTCGTGATGCTAACCCAACATAAATATCCTTCATCCCACGACACCACATCACAGACTGACCACCTGTCTACTTTTTCCACCCAGTCTCAAGGTTAGCAGATAGAGGCCGGTACGATAGCTTCTCGGATGACATTAGTAGCTCATTTCAGCGCCACCTAAATCGGTGTTTACGGATGATGACACCCAATGTACGATCTCTACCGCACCTTAAAACACACTGTTACGCTTCAGAACTACTCACACGATGACGCCATCGGGCGCAAGCAATTTTACGGGGACAAAAGTTAACCAGCACACGGTTGCCAGGAAACAATTAAATGTTGGAATATTAGAATGCAGTATACAATTCATACTTTGTATAAATTGGCAGACTTCAGTCTATTAATCACCTTACTGTTTATTCCGAATTTATTATTGTTATCTGTTGTCGTTAATTTGCCCGCTGTGTTCTAAGATAAAGCATATCTGGATTTGCGTAAAACGGTTGGTGAAGTATTCGACAACGTGAACTGACTCGCACCTAATATTCAAATTATGAATGAGTTCCGTCAGTTATTGAGAGCTCGTTAATATTCAACAGCTGAAAGGCTACAAACGTTCTCACTGCTTCGTACGGTGTTTCAGTCTTTGCCTAACAGAATAATTTCGACTGGATGATTTGCACTTTAAAAAAAGGGAAATAGAATGAGGTTGGTTCCAGAAGAACTGCTACTTCGATGTGCGTTGTTTTGTGTGAACATACTTCTCGTATAAAATGTTACCGATTATTAGAAAAACAGAACAATTTCATAAAGTAGCACTGCTTTTAAAGATAGGGTTATGTGCATGACTACACTAGACTAGAAACTAACGAGGACGAACGCACTAAGTAAGACGAATCCAATATGCAAAAGTCAAAACATACTTGGAACAATGTTATGGAATATGCGAACGCGTGATATTACGACACGGTTACCGGAATCAGGGTCAGTATCGCTGTCAACGCTATTAGTTTTAGTATCCACACTAGTATCAGGACCTAAAGAAATACAAAACAAAGTAAAAGTTCAATCAGAATAAATAAACACAGTAGACAGACAAGGGTATAGGTTAGATAGTGCTCGAAATACCTTTCATTAGTCTGTTAATGAGAATTTTACTAATCCAATACACTTGAATGGAGCAAGAGCTAATTGATGCACTTGAGACACTTTTGTTTACCATATTTCAGTACAAATATGGCTTCAAAAAGAATCATTCGTCCTAAACAAATAGGTATACATCACGTTTACTGAAGCTACTAGTGATTAGATTCCAAATATTAAGTCATCTTTTTAATTGCTGCTTCACTAACAGAAGTTTGAACGAGGTACAATTGCTGATTCTCACAAAATGAGTATAAATTTTAACTAGACACTGGCTGAACTAGCCGCGGTAACATAAAAATCCATTTCTAAAATTATGTATTTGCATTGGCCTCGCCTCTTCCAAATGCAAAGTGATGCTACAGGACTAATCTGTACCAAAGTTTGAAAGTGGGAAACGGAAGTCACTAAACGTGTTAATCACTTCACCTATTTAAGAAATCACACCAGCCCCAATGGACTGATTACTCAGTACACCCTTAGATGACTCATCTGGTGTTCACCAACTCGCGAAGTCTTAGGTGTCAGCATAATAAAAGTCTCGTCAAACAGCGCGCACAGTGCATAGTAGTTTGCTGTGTCCCACCTTGCAGCTGAGACAAAGCCGCTGGAACCAAAAGGTACGTAAAAAATCACAGGTTTTTAACGGTATGTATACTTCGCCTTTTGAAATGGCTAAAATTCGCCTACAATAACGAGAATGTTAATTTTCAAAAATGTTTTTAATTTTTGAACATCTTTGTTACTTTTAATTGAACCACCTTTTTCCATGATGTTCATGTAGTACTACTGCATCTGTTTTCAAGTGTGCTCGTTGGTATGGAAACTCAAACTTATGTAGATGTCCGAAAAATTCTACACAGGCTTTCCATTAAGTCCTGTGAGATTTCTCAGAGTACGACGAAATATTAAGTGGAGTTTCGTAGCTACATGATTCCAAATTGACTACGATAATGTGAATGTAATCTTTTCGTATACTTGTTTGGATCCTGAACATCCGTTACTCCACTTGCTAAACTTCTCACTAATTTAGTCTTGTCTCTCTATTGCAAAATGTAATGTTAATGCGACGTTCAATACCACTGCTTTTTTCACTATGGATATGTGCCAGCACAATTCTCTATTGAACAAGCATAAAAGCCAAATTACTAAGTGTTCTCAGGAACACAACATTCAATTGAGTGTATGAAGGTAAGTAAAGTCTCATCATCGTATGAGCAATTGTTTTAGTACATGTGTGACGAGAAAAAGAGAATGAAGTGTACTACAAACGACAACGTACTGACGACCAAAATGTCTTACCTGGATTCACCATGGGAATTCTGTGCTTGAATTAATAAAATTACAATAGTCAACCAGTTACAGGAGTTGTCTGCTTTTGAAACACACCTCAATTTATACTAACGACACTGTATTCAAAGTGGAAACAGAAAATATCTCTAAAGATTGAGCCAAAATTAATGTCTTCACGAACTACAACTGTTTTAGCCTCTTTCGTAACAATATGAAATCCAGTGACTACAGATGGACCTTTTACGAAGTATGGTTTGTCGGGAAAAAATTTCCAGAGACTTGTGGTTAAACTACTATAAGAAGTAACTTTAGAACAGTCCTTATTCATCTTAGTTAAGTGAAATGAGATTACATAAATGAAAATAAGCTACAAACTAGTTTTTCGAGACAATATGCTCAGAATTAATTACAGTGGGGTCATTTAACATCAATGAAACATCTGTTACGGATGGTTTTTATGAAGGTAACAACCAATTTAAGTTAGCTTACCATCAGTTACACCTCCCAATAATTGACGGATTCTGTCGAAGAAAGTTCCAAAGAAGCTAAAAGTAATAAGTCTAAGTAGGACATCAATACTACCTTGAGAATGGCAGGACTTCAATATTAATAGATGATTGAGCATTTGTTTCACAGCCCACTTTGCAAGCAGACACCAACTTTACATCCGATTTGTAGGTATCGCTACAAGATTGTTCACAAGTTGGCATTTGTGATGGCAAATGCATATTAGCGACGGTACATCCTCTGGAGCAAGCATCCTCTTCAGCTCCCTGTAAACAATTAATTTACGAGTAAACATTCACTACAGAAAACAAACGAAAATGACAAATGACGCGAGCAAAGACAAATCAGAGGCAGACGAACAAGTGATAGCACCCGAAACAAAAATAAATTCCGTTGCTGTGTTTTGCATTCACCAATTCATAGTCGCATAAAAACTGTATTAGAAAATATGCAGTTAGACGTAGGCAAATGAACTATGTTGATTAACTATACTACTGAACAGTCCTAAACCTAGCCACACCAAATAGTTATTCACCCTAAACCCATCACTGTCTAGTATAACTCCTCAAGAGAAACACTAGACTGCTGAATCCTTTGTAGAATAACTAGCTTGAGTCTGTCGAGTCTACACAATAAGGCTGAAAAATTTTCTCAACAGCTTGAAAAGCTCCTTGTTTTACCTTTATGGAGTTTTCTCTACATTATATGTTATTCACTGTTACAGACAGCAATTTTATGCCGTTTCGCATGGAATGGGATGACAAATCTACCAGCATTTCTCACTCTGTGGTAGTCACGTGCATGTTTCCTTCTCAAGATATCTGAATGCCTTACAAGTCACCGGCAGTGGCTTAGACGCACTCGCCTCTTGTCAACCCTCAGGTCATGAAAAGCTTCGCTAATCTTCATTTACGCATCTTCCGTGCACACCCGTGTTTACAGTAGAATCACCTTATATTTTCCTTTACTAAGTTGTATATATTGTGCCTACTGTATCTAACACGCGAAACGACTAATTATTCACTTCAGTGCTATTTGGCAGAGAAAATGGCTATTGAGGCATTATGAGAAAGTTTGCAGTACACTAAAACATGTCGCAAATCTAGTACCGTGTTCCTAACTACGGAAGGCAATGAAACAACTAATGCCTACAAAAGTACTTCGCTGGGATCTGTTCTCATAAAATCCCTGATGCGTACTGCATGCACAATCAACGTCACAAACTAGTTCAGTATTAAACTCTAAGTGATAATTTACTCTAGAGCCTCAAGCTAATCATTCTATGATAGACAAACCTGCTATTTTTCGGTAAATATCTCCAACATGGACAGACATTATAGGCTAATACAACCAAGTCGAATTCATAATTAATCTCCTTTGAGTGCGGTTTAGGACATATACGAAATTCTCATAACTCACATCGAACTTGGTTATACATGTTTCCTTGCAATTTTTAGGCGCCGTCAGAAGATCTTCTGCTACGGCGAAAGACAGGAAGACAGACACCACCAGTACAGACCACCCCATCTCTCTGGAAACGAAACTATGCGCTTGTTAGTGTCTCTCTACCACTGGTGTAATAAAACAATATTAAACCTACGGACTTCGTGTAACAAATGAACTGCACCATATTTTGGTTTTTACTGTGTTCAATTAGAAACTCAAAGAGTGATGTGGTGCCTCAGTTCTTTTTTGATCTATAATAAAAATTGTCGACAAGATTAGAAGAGCTTCCTACTAAGGAAGTACGTCATTCCGTGAGGGCCCATGGAAGCTCTCCCTTGGGCACGGGGTAAAGGGTCAGTGTATCGTTTCAGAAGTTTTTATCAGACACCTGCAGGGTTACGGAAGACTTATGTCGACCGGGTTCGGCTTTTGTTCGTGTGATGCAGAATGCAGCTCCTGTACCAACCAAGCATTTTATACCATAAATCTTACACTCGAGGTAGAAGAAAAGACTGTGTGGGCACCCTTTCTCAGTGATTGCTACCGAAGAAAGGGTTAATCGTTTCCATGCTAGTTGTGAAGTAGTTTAGGCCGGTCACATGCAGTGTGCATTTTTCTGACTGTGTGCCAAATTTCCATTCATGCTAGCTTAATTGGCTTGTTGACCTAGTTTATTTAGCTCTAGTCACCAGCCGAGAACGCACTCTGTTGGCCGACCTACCTCGTCTGCTTTGTGTTAGCCATATTTGTGCATGTTGTCCTGTTAGTGATCCAACATCAACCGCTAGTTTTGGGATCAGCGTGTTTTGGCTACTTGTCCCTTCGTGAGTCGTCTCCTATCTAAAATTTGGTCAGGAGAACACGCAAACCGTTCAAGAGAGGAGTCAGGCTCTTATGTATCTAGTGCCCGTTGCATCTACTCTGGCTGGGATCGTATCCAGCCTAGCTCTAGCTCACCCTTTGTCACTGTGCTATCATCTGTAAACTGTCGCAGGTAGTGCAAGAACTGTGATGGGGATCTATTTCCTGTTTTCTTCTTTTGAGGTAGAAGTTGTGTACGTCGATTTTCTGACATGGAGAGTTATTTTACCGCCTTGCAATTTGACGCTTAGTATGTTAGTTTGAAGGGAGAGCGAAGTATAGGGTCCCGCAACTCCTTGCTAAATTCATAAAGCAACTGAGAACACATATCCTTATGTCTAGCGGATTCGGGTTTAGTGCTATACCAGTCAAAGTGTTGCTCGATTTAAGCAAACAACAGCTCCGGGTCATATCATTTTGATTCAGATGATGTAAATGGGGTAGTTACTATAGTACTGTTTTATAGTCAGTTTCTATGTTTGGCTAGCGAGATGTTATAATGAATAGAAATAACAGACTAAATACTACGTGCGCGCTGAAAAAATCCGAAAAAAATAAATTTACGGATTATGGTCAACTATAACTAAATGGAAGGCAGAATATAAACGAAATAGGGTCACCGATCTAGAAACGGACTTTTCTGTCGAAATAATTACTCAGATTACAGACCAAAAGCTTGTACCCTTGTGAAGACCAAGCTTGTTTTTTGGACTACTATTTCACAAAGCACGGTAGAGAGCAAGCAGAGGGGAAACCATGTCAGACACACAGAAACTTTGTATATCATGGAGAAGAAGCAATTTTTACTTGGTAACTGGTCCGATCCATTCGATATTATTCTCAGTTGTGATTCGCGTCAGCGAACCTTCGACAAATTCTAAGTTGTGAACTTGGATTTTTATTTATGTTAACCCTGTCAGAAATTCAATTTAACCGCCCTCTGTACTAGGTAACAGTCTAAACACGTGTTATCCCTTCTCGGTTTTGTGTAGAGCACGCTGCGCCCCACCTCCTTGAGAGTTGGATGACTTTTTTCTCTGATTTTTGGTGTACCAGTTGGCGGTAACATATGTCGTCTTATGCATAACATTGAGATTCTGCATTCTAGCTCCAATTATCAAGTCATTAAAGATTATTCAATCCTGAATACTTTCACCAAACACATCTTGACCTACGACAAATTCTTTCCCAGTATTGTCTGCTTCTAGTTTCACGTCCATGCCACCCGACAGAGTTATCGATGTCGCTAACAAGTTTGTCACGCCAAGTACTGCCTTCTGTTTTCAGTAGAGATCCTTCTTATTTTGTTTTGTATTGTTTGTAGGTACGAGGCATTGTAAAGTTGTACTTCCCATCCTTTTGTGTACAGTGATATGTACTACTAAAGGCTCCGAGACCTGGCATTAGACCATTCTTGTATCTCCAAACAAAAGGGAACTTCAGTAACGTTCAATTCTTACGGTAAGACATCTATCGAGAGCGTTTCAAAAGACTTTATCATAAAAAAGCTCAAGAGGCCTAATTTTCCAGTCATTCCTGGGGTTATCCTTTGTTTGTTCAGTCAACTGAATGTTAGTAACTCTAAAGAAATTCAATTGAAACATACTACTTATCAACAATTAATTATTAATGACATGACTAATTATTTGGCGAAGAGTTTTAACTACTAAAAGGCCTTCACCTTAATGGGCCTTATTCAGTTCTTATCGAATGAGACTATTGTTTCCTTGATTTTCTCCCCATTGTCGTGCCATGCTTAATTTGATAGGTTATTTAGGAATGAAATTTGGTTGATTAAAGGCGTAATTTAACGGGATTTCTAACTCAAATTTTTGGCTTGGAGCACATTTTAACTCTTTATGTCGCGGTTGGATGAATTAGATGGTAATCCTACCTGCCGACAGTTCTCTTTCCGACTTCACACTCCTCTTTGGCATTTCTGACATGCTGGGCACTAATGGAAAATGAGATCAGGCATGTATTCTCGTGAAATTCCAAACATCATCTCCTGACCCTCTTTTTGCCTGAAACTACGATGAGGTGAGGAGATCTAGTGTTTTTATTCATTCCATGTATGACAAGCATTTTGAAAGATCACTCTATCATCCTGCTTATTCTAGCAAACTTCATACGTCGTTATGCATAAGACTTTATTTTGATAAATCACTCAGTGTTGTACGGTAATATTCGCTGATGACGTTTCGAGCCCGAATTATTGCCCATGATCATATCCTGTCATATCATATCATCATAAAAGTTAGTGTAGTGATAAAACGTTTACCAGTAGCTGGGTTGAACTAAGTTATAATTCAGTGAACTGCCAAAACAAAGAAAACAGTGTCCATTCGCAATTCGCCGTTTAGCGATAAAAGAAATTTCAGACTACCTAAACATCAAACTCGGTGTTTCGACGGAAACCCAGCTGACTATCCACAGTTTGTAAAGGAGTTTGAAGTCATGTTGGGTGGGCTTGCAATAACTGATTAAATGAAGCTGATGTGTTTGATGAGATACTGCACTGGAGTTGCTTCAAGAGCTATACAGTGCTGTAAGTTTATAAAGCCAAATGAAGGATACTCTGAGGCTATGAGTATACTGCGTCAAAGATTCGGAAAACCTTCAATGATTGTAGGGAATATATTCGAGGCTGTTAAAGGTAATGGTAGTCAATTACAAGACGACTCCAAGACACTCTCTGAGTTTTTGGATAATCTGATGACTTACAAGAATATGTTGATTTCGATGAATTGTATGAGCAATCTGAACTCAAGTTCCGTCCTAGAGATAATAGCGAGACACCTACCTACTCGACTGCAAAGGAAGTGGGTGAAGATAAGCTCTCGTATAGAGGATGAAGGAATCGAGCCAAAGTTCGATGGTATTCCGAAACTGGTAAAAGATAGTATCAATCAATCTAATTAATAATTTATTTCATAAACTAAAATTTACATGAAATGAGCAAGTTTGCCAGTATATTGAATCTCACCCCTAGAATAGAGCAGTCTGAGAGCAAAACGCAATCATTGATGACGAAAGGATCTCAGAGAAGTGGATATCGAGAAAGATTTATGATGTCTAGTAATCCATATAAACTTAGTGAATGTAAAAGCTTTTGTGAGACATCCCCAACAGATAGGTTACAAGTTGAGAGGCAAACACGGTTGTGTTTTACACGTCTGCAAGCAGTGCATACAAAGGTGAACAGTGAATCAGTGAGCAAGTTTGGTAGTAAGCTAGATGCGAAGTAAGCGTCATCAAGTTCTGACTACGAACTGTGTGACGATAATGGTGCAGTGAAGAAGCCTGTGGCTGCAACTGGTAAGCCATTGTTGAATAGAGTGTCACAGACGACACTGCAGTTTGTGCAGGAGAAGAGAGTTACACTTTCAGAGTCCAGTTCTGATTTTTAAGGTTTTACTAGTCAGAGTAAAGGTATGAAACCTTTAAGGATTTGTGAGGAAGAACCCACATTATTTACTGCTGTTATTAAAGAGTTTGAAAATGATGAAATTGACGGTAAAGTGAATATTTGTGATAATGATCATGATAGTGCAGATTTGTCTTTGGCTGATCATGATGAGATGAGCGGAATGCCTACTACTACTACTGAGTTGAATAAAAGTTCTGTACAACTTCAGCGTGAAGTAGAACTAAGAGCAGATGCAGTGGTAGAAGGTATGGATACTCATGAGACCGTCAGTGTAAATGATCAGCGTGTAGCCCACCTGTCGACAGATGTTAATGCTAAACTGGAGCTAATAATAAAAGACAGCAGTGGTGGTGATCTGACAGTTAGACAACCTTCTAAAAGCCGAACAACAACAGCTTCTGATGCACCGCTAAGTTGATCAACTTGTGTCACTCAGTCGTCGTCGGTATTGTCATCCACGATGAAAGGGACGCCCATGAACTGAGGTGTCTTGTGCTGTGACCATGCTAGTATCGGCCCGTTTGAAAAGACGAATGTTAATGGTCAGTTTAATGAGGATAAGCCAACTGTGTATGAGAGGGTAATTGTTAAAATGACTTGCACGAATAAAGGCCTTTCGAGTTTCAAGTTACTATTGGAATGTTATTATCGTTGGTGTAAATTACTCTGTACCCAAGCTTGGATGGTCAGATACGTCGTATGTTTGTTAGTCATTTATAATCTACTATAAAATGTCATGGGTGTGTGACCGTTCAGAGTTGGGGATATAGATGATAGAAGGAGGTCAGCA